GTTTCACTATGTTGGCCAGGTTGGTCTCAAACTCCTGACCTCAAGTAATCCACCCGCCTCAGCCTCCCAAAGTGCTGGGATTACAGACATGAGCCACCACACCCGGCCTTTGTTGTTATTATTGGTCACCTATCCGTTTGCCCTCTATCTGTCCCTCTGTCCATTTATGAGTCCTTTGGTCCTGCCTGCCCTTGTTGAGTGCCCAGCTCAACAAGCACTATGGCAGGCTCTCAGTAGCCCCGTGCATGGCCCAGTGAAGACTGTGTGGGTCCCAGGTGCTGAAGGAGAAGAAGCAGGCTACGGAGCGGCTGGTGTCACTGTCGGCCCAGAGTGAGAAGCGACTGCAGGAGCTCGAGCGGAACGTGCAGCTCATGCGGCAGCAGCAGGGACAACTGCAGAGGCGACTTCGCGAGGAGACGGAGCAGAAGCGGCGCCTGGAGGCAGAGATGAGCAAGCGGCAGCACCGCGTCAAGGTCAGGCTCACGGCAGGGCGGGGACCCTCTGTCCAGGCCAGTAGGCTGAGCTGGCGGCCCAGCCAGGGGAGCCCAGGTAGTTTGCCATCCACAGCTACGTGACCTTAGAAAGCAGGTCACTTAGCCTGAGTCTGTTTTTTCATCTGAAAGTGCGGAGTGTTACAGGAAACTCAAGGCCAGGGTGAGACTTCAGTGAGATGAGGTATATGAGGTGACTGGCACGGGCTTATTTCTAAGTGTTTGCGTCTATTTGCCAGTCTCCAGGGAGACTTGTGTGGGATGGGTCTGGGAGATGCTTCACAGGGCTGTCTTGGGAGTGGGCAGGCACTCCTGGGGACTTTGGGATCGGTGGCAGGCTCTGGTAAGATGCTGGCACCATAAACAGCCCTGCCCACTGAGCTCCTCACCCAGGAGCTGGAGCTGAAGCATGAGCAGCAGCAGAAGATCCTGAAGATTAAGACGGAAGAGATCGCGGCGTTTCAGAGGAAGAGGCGCAGTGGCAGCAACGGCTCTGTGGTCAGCCTGGAGCAGCAGCAGGTGGGGCCAGGCTGCGTCCGCACCCAGGGCTCCCCTGGGGGCTGGCTGGTGGGTGCACTTTTCTCCCCAGTGAACCTTGAGTGGCGGCTGACAAAGCCAGAGGTGGGCCCTGAGTTCCCTCCCTCCCTCGCTGCTTTTCCTTAGAAGATTGAGGAGCAGAAGAAATGGCTGGACCAGGAGATGGAGAAGGTGCTACAGCAGCGGCGGGCACTGGAGGAGCTTGGGGAGGAGCTCCACAAGCGGGAGGCCATCCTGGCCAAGAAGGAGGCCCTGATGCAGGAGAAGACAGGGCTGGAAAGCAAGCGCCTGAGGTCCAGCCAGGTGAGGCCCTGCCAGGAGAGATCCTGCCAGGTGAGGTCCAGTGAAGTGAGGTCCAGCCAGGACAGATCTTGCCAGGTGAGTTCCTGCCAAGTAAGTTTCTGCCAGGTGAGGTCTAGCAAAGTGAGGTCCCTCCAAGTGATAAACCTGCCAGGTGAAGTCCTGCCAGGTGACGTCCCTGCCAGGTGAGGTCTAGACAGGCGAGGTTCTTCTAGGTGGTATCTCTGCCAGGTAAGTTCCAGACAGAGGAAGCTCTGTCCTGCTGGGTTCTGTCCTGTGCCTCCCCATGAGCCGTAGGGCTTCAAGATATTTATGACACGGTTACAGATGTATGTGTAGAAGAACCTCTTTTAAGTGTCCCTCCTCCAGTTCATTTCACTCATTAACCCCCTACTCAGGGCCTGTGCAGGAAGAATGAGGAGGTACAGGTATTGGAAGGTGGTATAACCAAGTAGAAGGAGACTTCTTCGCCTGGCATCATTACTTCCTCTAGAATAGGAAGGTCAGCTTCTGAGCCGCAGCATCCTCTTCTGTCAGATGGGATCATAACGTTACCATGACGGCTGCAGGGGGATGGCAGTCACTGATGCAGGGCCTGTTCCAGTACAGGGGCCTGGGCCAGACGCCCGATGTCCCAGGCCTGCAGAGGCCAGGAGCCTTGCTCCTGCCAGCACGCATCTCTCTGATGTCCAGGAGGATCCAGGGTGCTACTGGATGATCCATAACTTCCCTTGGCCAGGAGAGCCCTCACTTCCTCCTGCATCTGGCTCCCAGAAAAGCCTTTGGGGCTTGGCCAATTCCTATCACTGTCCAGTCTGGTCATCTCAGTGACAGGTCATTCCTCCCACCCTTACCCATTGCCCCTTCTTGCCAGGAGGGCCACGTCCCTCTGGTCCTTATCCTCCTCTCGCCATCTCTGAGTGCCACTCTGCGAATGCTCTGGTCCCTTTAGCCCCACCTCCTGGAGCTTCTGTGAACTAAGTCTGGTCTCCCTGCTGAACAGAACATTTGGAGTGTTGGTTTCTTGAGGGAAGGACCCAGCTCCTCCTCAGCATCCGGCCCTTTCTGTCACCCTGTGAGGACAGTGCCTGTTCCTTCTCTAATCCCTGGCGATTCTGCCCCCAGGCCCTCAATGAGGATATCGTGCGAGTGTCCAGCCGGCTGGAGCACCTGGAGAAGGAACTGTCCGAGAAGAGCGGGCAGCTGCGGCAGGGCAGCGCACAGAGCCAGCAGCAGATCCGCAGGGAGATCGACAGCCTGCGCCAGGAGAAGGACTCGCTGCTCAAGCAGCGCCTGGAGATCGACAGCAAGCTGAGGCAGGGGAGCCTGCTGTCCCCCGAGGTACCCTGCGGCCCCCTGGCTCAGCCCCTCAGCCTCTGCCCCTGGCTTCCATCATCTGCCTGTCTGCTCTCCTCAGCCCCTGCTCCAGCCCTCTGCGGGTGCTGGGCCTTGCTGTGAGTGGACCCAAGTTTGCACTGTTAGGTGGAGGTGGGGGCTGGGGAGGGCTGGCCTGGCCCTTCTGCCCCTGCTTTGGCCTCATTGGCTGGAACACAGGGGCCAGGCTGTGATGATCCCTCAGCTCCCTTCTGGCTGGAGCCCCGACTCTTGTGCTGCATTTGAGTACCTGCCCGCACGTCTTGGCTTTGTGTGTGGATAGAGTGTCAGGAGCATACTCAGTGCACCTCATGCCCACACATCTGTGTTCCCTGAGCAGAGAGAAGGCCTATGTGACTACAGTCATGTGCTGTGTGACATTTTGGTGAATAACAGACAGCTAATACAATGGTGTTCCCAGAAAATTATAATACTGCATTTTTACTGTGCATTTTCTATGTTTAGATACACAAATACTCACCACGGTTAACAACTGCCTACAGTATTCAGTACAGTCACATGCTCTCCAGGCTTGTGGCCTAGGTGTGTGGTGGGCTATACCATCTAGGTTTGTGTGAGTACATTCTGATGTTTGCATGATGTCGAAAACACCTAATGATGCATTTCTTAGAATGTATCCCCATCTGTAGAAGCTTACCCAGCAGACACCGTGGTGCCTCCGTGGCTGTCCCAACCATGCCTTTTGTTTGGTTAGGGCGCTCTGAGCTTCCTGAATGTAGATCATTCACAGGGGCTTGCAGTTGAGCAGGCTGCCTCTGAGCAGTGGCCCCAGCTGACCCTGGGGTCGGGGCTGTGACGGTGAGCAGGGGGCACCTCTCTCGATGCGCTGACCTTGGGACGAGGGGACCCTTAAGGCCCAGTTGTGGCTACGTGTTGGCTGTTGCGTGTCTGCCCAGGACTTCAGCGTTCAGGCAGTGGGGGCTGTTCCTCCATGCATGCCCCTGTCCCTGCAGGAGGAGCGGACGCTGTTCCAGTTGGATGAGGCCATCGAGGCCCTGGATGCCGCCATTGAGTATAAGAATGAGGCCATCACATGCCGCCAGCGGGTGCTTCGGGCCTCAGCCTCGTTGCTGTCCCAGTGCGAGATGAACCTCATGGCCAAGCTCAGCTACCTCTCATCCTCAGAGACCAGAGCCCTCCTCTGCAAGTATTTTGACAAGGTGGGCCACCAGCCTATGGCCCCCACCTCCTCCTCCTGCGGCACGGTGGGGAGGTGTCTCATGGCAGCTGCTCCAGCAGATATCCCGTTTCCTCCCAGACCGGGGGACAGAATCAGGACCAGCTCATCTCCAGGGCTGCCTGACTTTAAAGCCCATTTTATTTGTGAAACAGACCCAGTGTCCTACCCTGCCACTTCTGCTTTGATTGGCTCACCTCAGGGTAGTCCATGGCCACAATAGTGGCTCTCAGTAGGGGATGTTTTTGCCCTTTGGTGACATTTGGCCATGGCTGGAGATACTTTTGGTTGTCATAGTGGTGGGGGTGGAGGCCAGGGATGTTACTAAACATCCTGTAACACACAGGACAGGCCCCCACAACCAAGAATTATCTGGTCCCAGATGTCCATAGTGCTGAGGTTGGTCTAGATGAAATCCCACAGCTTGAGGCTCTGCCAGCTCCATGGTGTGTGGTTAGGAAAGGGCTGGTGGCAAGAGACAGCAGATAAGGTGAGAGCCAGCTCTGATCGTTGGAAGATAAATAGAGCACTGAGAAGGTGTCTGAGGCTAAGTCTTGGTTCAGCAGGGAAGACCCTGGTGATTTCTTAGTGCCGTGGTGGCAAGTGTGCCAACACTGTGTCTGTGGTTGAGGATTAGCCAGATGAAGAGGGGTCATGGTGGGGGCTGAGCCTGGCTGGGTCTTGGGACAGGTGGTGACGCTCCGAGAGGAGCAGCACCAGCAGCAGATTGCCTTCTCGGAACTGGAGATGCAGCTGGAGGAGCAGCAGAGGCTGGTGTACTGGCTGGAGGTGGCCCTGGAGCGGCAGCGCCTGGAGATGGACCGCCAGCTGACCCTGCAGCAGAAGGAGCACGAGCAGAACATGCAGCTGCTCCTGCAGCAGAGTCGAGGTGAGCAGCCCCAACCCACCGCTCACAGCCCCGGCCCAAGGCTCACAACTCTGCCCCCTCCATCCCCACCTCTCCCCCTGGCCCCCGTCCTC